GATTCCTTAGATTAAACCTAGTTTAACAACTAACTGTTAGTTTGTCAAACGAGTTCTTAACATAGTGGCTAAGTTTATGCAACCGAAACAGAGTAAAATAAGCCTAACTATAGATTTGGCATAAAATTTAAGTGCAAAACCTACAGCGGCAATATTGGAGTACTGTAAGTGGTTACTAGGGTGTTTCTAAGGTGAAAAAAAGTGTGTTGGATTTTTTTCGAAAAGACAGACTATTTCTAGTTCTTGCTTGTAAAACATCGGAAACCATTTTATTGCTATGCTATGATGTTATGAGTGGTTGCCAGGGTGTTGCTAGGTTGCTTGGATGTTGCTAGGTTACTGACCCAAGTCTAAAAAGTTCTACTCCCACAAGTCTTTTTTAATTTATTTTTGTTGTCTGTATTGTTTAGGTCCATCTTTCGGTGTACAGAATAACTCTAATGCTCTAGTGCTAATGAATCCCAACTTCTGCAGACTCTCATTTAGCCTTTTATATCAATTTAAACATTTGAGAAAATATATGGTCAAATATATGACCTCATTCCACAGTCCCTTGAACCAATAACTGCAGATAAATATGTTTTGATGCGTTGCAAGTGTGTTTTTAACTCCCTTGAAGTGTAATATTAGGAGTTTTTTGAGGTGCGGCATCATGTGAAATAAAGATCCAGCGTTTTCAAAGCTCCACCCATTTCCCTCCTCAAGTATAGAGTTTATCTCTGATGTTCAAGCTGCAACACATTAAAGGCTCTCTGTGGATGACTTCATAGTGAAACCAGAGGCTTTTACAACAGTCATTAACCATGTCATAACCAGGGCCGACGCAACCATAAGGCTCGCTGCCGACTGATGGATCTGCTAAATGAGACGCCTAATCCTGAAGTATGGGTGAAATGCTGAACTATTTATGTTAAACCATCCTTTTTAAGTATTTAATGAAGCTTGAAATAACCTGGATGAACATTTGATTGTCCCACGCTCAGGTGAAAAGAGTGATCTGGAGTTCTCGAATATGTTTCATTGAAGCATCAACTTTATCTCGGTTGTTTCTCTGAAAATGCCAAAGAGAAATATAAATGAAATGGTTGAAACGTTAAGAGTAGAGAAACACCAATACTAAATTTCTCATACCGATAGTTTGATTTTCTTAAAAAAAATCTCTCCTAAGTCGCAACTAATGCTGTAAACTATACAGGGAAGCCTCTCATTTGGTACAATACTTTAATGTTAGAGATTAACATCAACAATAGAGCTATTTTATTTTCAGATATACTAATTACACTCAAATTAAAACGAATTTGAAATGTTTGTATACAACTATAGTATTTTTCATAAACACTTGAATGAACGAGAATGAACCTCATTGGTTCTTGCTGAAGCTCAAACGTGATGCGTAACTCGAGAATGAACCTCATTGGTTCTTGCTGAAGCTCAAACGTGATGCGTAACATGAGAATGAACCTCATTGGTTCTTGCAGAAGCTCAAACGTGATGCGTAACATGAGAATGAACCTCATTGGCTCTTGCAGAAGCTCAAACGTGATGCGTAACACGAGAATGAACCTCATTGGTTCTTGCTGAAGCTCAAACGTGATGCGTAACACGAGAATGAACCTCATTGGCTCTTGCAGAAGCTCAAACGTGATGCGTAACATGAGAATGAACCTCATTGGTTCTTGCTGAAGCTCAAACGTGATGCGTAACTCGAGAATGAACCTCATTGGCTCTTGCTGAAGCTCAAACGTGATGCGTAACTCGAGAATGAACCTCATTGGTTCTTGCTGAAGCTCAAACGTGATGCGTAACACGAGAATGAACCTCATTGGCTCTTGCTGAAGCTCAAACGTGATGCGTAACATGAGAATGAACCTCATTGGTTCTTGCTGAAGCTCAAACGTGATGCGTAACTCGAGAATGAACCTCATTGGTTCTTGCTGAAGCTCAAACGTGATGCGTAACATGAGAATGAACCTCATTGGTTCTTGCTGAAGCTCAAACGTGATGCGTAACATGAGAATGAACCTCATTGGCTCTTGCAGAAGCTCAAACGTGATGCGTAACACGAGAATGAACCTCATTGGTTCTTGCTGAAGCTCAAACGTGATGCGTAACACGAGAATGAACCTCATTGGCTCTTGCAGAAGCTCAAACGTGATGCGTAACATGAGAATGAACCTCATTGGTTCTTGCTGAAGCTCAAACGTGATGCGTAACTCGAGAATGAACCTCATTGGCTCTTGCTGAAGCTCAAACGTGATGCGTAACTCGAGAATGAACCTCATTGGTTCTTGCTGAAGCTCAAACGTGATGCGTAACACGAGAATGAACCTCATTGGCTCTTGCAGAAGCTCAAACGTGATGCGTAACACGAGAATGAACCTCATTGGCTCTTGCAGAAGCTCAAACGTGATGCGTAACATGAGAATGAACCTCATTGGCTCTTGCTGAAGCTCAAACGTGATGCGTAACTCGAGAATGAACCTCATTGGTTCTTGCAGAAGCTCAAACGTGATGCGTAACACGAGAATGAACCTCATTGGCTCTTGCAGAAGCTCAAACGTGATGCGTAACATGAGAATGAACCTCATTGGCTCTTGCAGAAGCTCAAACGTGATGCGTAACACGAGAATGAACCTCATTGGTTCTTGCAGAAGCTCAAACGTGATGCGTAACTCGAGAATGAACCTCATTGGCTCTTGCTGAAGCTCAAACGTGATGCGTAACACGAGAATGAACCTCATTGGCTCTTGCAGAAGCTCAAACGTGATGCGTAACTCGAGAATGAACCTCATTGGCTCTTGCAGAAGCTCAAACGTGATGCGTAACTCGAGAATGAACCTCATTGGTTCTTGCTGAAGCTCAAACGTGATGCGTAACACGAGAATGAACCTCATTGGTTCTTGCTGAAGCTCAAACGTGATTCGTAACACGAGAATGAACCTCATTGGTTCTTGCTGAAGCTCAAACGTGATGCGTAACACGAGAATGAACCTCATTGGTTCTTGCTGAAGCTCAAACGTGATGCGTAACACGTGAATGAACCTCATTGGCTCTTGCTGAAGCTCAAACGTGATTCGTAACACGAGAATGAACCTCATTGGTTCTTGCTGAAGCTCAAACGTGATGCGTAACACGAGAACGAACCTCATTGGCTCTTGCTGAAGCTCAAACGTGATGCGTAACTCGAGAATGAACCTCATTGGCTCTTGCTGAAGCTCAAACGTGATGCGTAACATGAGAATGAACCTCATTGGCTCTTGCTGAAGCTCAAACGTGATGCGTAACTCGAGAATGAACCTCATTGGCTCTTGCAGAAGCTCAAACGTGATGCGTAACACAAGGATGAACCTCATTGGCTCTTGCTGAAGCCCAAACGTGCTTCGTAACTCGAGAATGAACCTCATTGGCTCTTGCTGAAGCTCAAACGTGATGCGTAACACAAGGATGAACCTCATTGGCTCTTGCTGAAGCCCAAACGTGCTTCGTAACTCGAGAATGGACCTCATTGGCTCTTGCTGAAGCTCAAACGTGATGCGTAACATGAGAATGAACCTCATTGGCTCTTGCTGAAGCTCAAACGTGATGCGTAACACAAGGATGAACCTCATTGGCTCTTGCTGAAGCCCAAACGTGCTTCGTAACTCGAGAATGAACCTCATTGGCTCTTGCTGAAGCTCAAACGTGATGCGTAACTCGAGAACGAACCTCATTGGCTCTTGCTGAAGCTCAAACGTGATGCGTAACACGAGAACGAACCTCATTGGCTCTTGCTGAAGCCCAAACGTGCTTCGTAACACGAGAATGAACCTCATTGGCTCTTGCTGAAGCTCAAACGTGATGCGTAACTCGAGAATGAACCTCATTGGCTCTTGCTGAAGCTCAAACGTGATGCGTAACTCGAGAACGAACCTCATTGGCTCTTGCTGAAGCTCAAACGTGATGCGTAACACGAGAACGAACCTCATTGGCTCTTGCTGAAGCTCAAAAAATGACTGTTTAATTCACATGGATTAGTTTTTTTACGATAGTTGCGTAACTGTCAATGGAGGGACAGAAATCTCATCAAAAAGATCTTCATTTGTGTTCTGAAGATGAACGAAAGATTACGAGTTTGGAAAGACACGAGGGCGAGTAATTAAAGACAGAATTCATTTTTCGTTGAAATATCCTTCAAACTTTCCACTCTCATACAGGCTTTCCCCCGTCCATCACGTCTGGCGTTTTCCCTGCTGTTGTAAATGTGACTCAGTCAGCTCCACACACACTGTTGTCAAGGGGTGAAAGGTCATCATGTGTTCAGAACACATGTCGTTCCTCTGCTTAAATTAGCTTGTGCACTTTCATAGCTCAGGAAACCTGTCGAGACAACTGTCGGAGGCCCAGAACAAAGACGCGAGGAGAGCGCCTGAAGTGCTTCACTCGAGCGCAGACGGCACAGAAGCACCACCTCGGACTGTGGCCGTATTCGTTAAAGCATCCGCTAAACATTTGCAGCACGTTTTGGAAGGTAAGCGCTTCTGTTTGCATTGCATTCTGGGTCACCCAGGGGTCTCCTGCCGTCTCGCTCTTATCTCCGTTCTCCTCTGTTCTCAGTCAGAGAGGAAGTTTTGACAGCCAGACTTTACAACCTCTCCCGCCTGCGCTTTGCACATGCTCTGACAGAAGTCCAGTGACTTCATCCCTCATTCACGAAAGCTTCCCCTCCTCCTCCCTCTCTCTCTCTCTCTCTCTCAGTCCGGCATCATGCCATGCGTTTTCCTCTTGCTGCGCTCTCTGTTCAGTAGCAGATTAGCAGGCTCTGTCGCGCAGCTCCTCCGCCGAAGCCTCACGGCGGCTGCTGGCCGACTCGGGACCGTCCTGCGACACATCTGGGACCGGATCAGTTCCCAGGAGTCCAAGGAGGCCATCCTGGGCTGCGTCTTGTGCATTCTCAACATGCACAAGAAGGTGGACAACTAGATTTGATTTTGTGCATTTCTTGGACTTTTTTTACTTTTTATGTTTTTTTTTTTGTTCATACTGAACTTAACCATGTCGGAGAGCATTGGGAGGAAAATCCAGCCTTTCACCATCGGGACCAAACTCTCGGCGCCGGCCGTGCCCAAGTGCTCGGACTTGGTTCCAGATGGTTACCTGCCGAATCGCACGTTCTCCGAAAACTGCAAACTGAGGCACCTGAACGAACAGGTGTCTCTCTATCTGGGCCGCTGCGGGTCGAAACACACACGTGAAGACCAACACCTGAACAGAAACGCAAGCTCCCCGAACACTGCGTCCAGATCCATCCGCAAGATCACCATCTCCAGCCGGACGGAGGCGTCGAAGGACAGACTGACTCCAGGGATGGACCTGAAGAAAACAAGAGGCAAATCTGAGAATATTAATAACAATAACAACAACACGCCGCTGCCTAAAATAGTGGGTGTCAGCTGTGAGAATAAACCCGACTCGCATCTGAAGGTAAGAAACGCTTTCTTTGGATTCCTGTATACGATCAATCTGTAAAAATGTGCAGTTAGAATGAGTGGACATGAAACTACTATTAAAAAATCTAGTTTACTTATCAAATGATAATTAGCTAAATGATATTTGCGTAAGGCTGAAGTAAATTTTTTTTTTTTTTAATGTGAAAAAATGCTTAATTATATTTACGGCTATATAATATTACATAATGTGTATGAAAAATTAAAGCCCTTGATGTCCAGAAAACAATGCAATTTTCTTTTTTCGGCATACATTTCATTTATAAAGCTCATAATATTCATTTTAAATAAGTGCTTTATATATTTTATGAATGAATGTGTGAATTAATTAATAATTATTGGGATTAATTCAATTTTAAGACAAGAATGCTTAGAACTTTTCCAAAAATATATAAAAATACGTAAATATTATTATAATGCAATTAGTATGTTATTTTAAAGGGTGAAATAGGCTACATTCTAATTTTATTATTTTTAATGATTAAATTAGCAGACATTTATTATTTATAAAGCACATAATATTCGTTATAAGTAAGTTCTTTATATATAAGATGAATGAATGAATGTTTATTTCTGGATGATTTAATATTAAGACAAAAATGCACCAACAACAAATCTGTTTTTTAGCACAATATAATATTACATAATGTGTAAGCAAAAAAAACAAACAAAAAAAACCTATTGATATTTGGAACAACAATGTTTTTATTTACGTTGCCCATTTCATTATTAATTATGAAATGTTGATTTGTTTAATTTATGAAGCATGTGATATTCTTTATAATCAAGTGCTTAGGGATGGGCAACGATTAATCGAGATTAATCGCATCCAAAATAAAAGTTTGTGTTTACATAATATATGTGTGTAGTGTGTATAATTAATTTGTATATATAAATACCCACACACACACATGCATGTATATATTTATGAAAAATGTGTTATTAATATATCAAATATTTATATTTATATATAATATTAATTGTGAATAAATATATACATGCATGTGTGGGTATTTATTTATACAAATTAATTATACACACTACACACATATATTATGTAAACACAAACTTTTATTTTGGATGCGATTAATCGTTGCCCATCCCTACTTTATAAGTATAATACATTTATTTATTTATTATTAATTTATTATTAATGATGAAATGTTGATTTGTTTAATTTATGAAGCACATGATATTCTTTATAAACAAGTGCTTTATACATTTTATAAATTTATGAATGAGTGTATGAGCAAAAAGCTTTTCATATATGTTTTAACTGGTTATTAATAGGGTTAATATTAAGACAAAGGAGGCACAATCAACAAATCTGTTATAATACAGTTCATTAAATTGATGTGTGATTATAAAAACCGACAGTAAACATTTAAACAGGAACTAATCCTGGTGTCGAGGAATCTGCTCTTCGGAGTCTCTTCTTCATGTTGTCTTTGTTTAGCAAAAGCTTCTGTGATCAAAACATGTGGAGTTGTCATGGAAACGGTACACAAATATACGGCGATGATGTCATCGCCCTTTCAGCTTTAATATTAGTTGATGCAAGTCCACATGAACTGATAGGCACGTCTTCTACGAGCTGGAAAGCGCAGTGTGTGTGTGTGTGTGTGGTTCAGATGATGTGTTTATTATGTAACGCTGCTCAAGTTCAGATGATGTCAGAGCTTCGGCTCAAAGGCTCCTTTCTATTACCTTCCACTCTCAGGCTTCAGTGTGTGTTCGCTTGGGCTTTGTTTAATGTCAGTGTGTCAGGAGGAGACACCGTTCACGTTTATACTATTCAACTTAAAGATATACTGTGGGGTCTAAAAGACTCATAACACTACACTGTAAAAAAAATATGTTCATGATTTGTGATCACAACATTTTTTCGTTTGTCAAATCAACTTTATGTGGTTCAGATAACATAATATTTTGAGTTTCTGATGATTCATTGAATTAACTCAATTTTTCCATTTCAATGAACTTACAATATTAAGGCAACCAGTTTAGTTCATTTTTTAAGTTAATCCTCAGTTCATCCTTTTTTTCTTCTCATGTTTATTTCATTACAAATTGAATTATCATTATCAGTTTGAGTGAAAAGTTTTGAAATGTTTAGAAAGTTTAAGAATTTCTAGTATTTGGTCTGTTCTTATATTAATACATGTGCATTATAATATAATATAATTAGTGCTATCAAAATATAATATAATATAAGTGCTGTCAAATCGATTAATCGCATCCAACATAAAAGTTTGTGTATATATTTATATAATACTACTTACAAACTTTTATATTAGATCCACTTAATCTAAATATAAAATAATAATATAACAATATAATACATTATTTAAAATAATAACATACAATTATAAATGTTTAATTTATATAGCACCTTCACATAGGCTCAAGTTTGTTTTAAAATAAATAAATGGTATATTTTTATTGTATGTTAGTGTATTTTAAAACCTATAAATAATCGGTTGTCATGAAAACCAAAACAATATTGTGTATATCTCATATAATAGTTCTGGATCACACCGGCTCATTGTTTGTGTGTTTGTTCAGGTGTTGCTGTGTAAAGATGGTGAGAAGCAGTGCAGTGCGGACCGAGAGAAATCCACCGCTTCTCCACAGGTAAACCTTATGATTTATTAGATTAATAACTCTATTCTGAAGTGACTGACATCATATCAGGGCCAGTTGCATAAACATGACACTTAAGTTCTAGTATGACCAACATTTTATTTCAATTAGTTTTAGATTACTATAATAACCCTTGTGTAACTCTCATTTGTGAATTATGCTTAAACATCTTTTTTTTCCGCATAACTTAAAGGAGTAGTGATAATTTACTCACCCCCATGTCATCCAAGATGTCCATGTCTTTCTTTCTTCAGTCGAAAAGAAATGAAGGTTTTTGATGAAAACATTCCAGGATTTTTCTCCATATAATGGACTTCAATGGGGTCCAAATGGTTCAAGGTCCAAATGAGAGTTTCAGTGCAGCTTCAAAGGGCTTTAAACGACACCAGACGATGAATAAGGGTCTAATCTAGCGAAACCATCGGCCATTTCAAAAATAAATAAAAAAGTTTATTTTCGTGACTCTCCTGTTCAAACTCGGTCATCAAAATGAACAAATCTTTTTTCGAGTCATTTGGTTGATTTAACGAACGAAATGAATGTTCGAGTTCGAACAGGAGAGTCACGAACAGGGCAAGATGACCATTTGAGCTGATAAAACTTAACATTTTTTATTTATTTTTGAAATGAGCGATCGTTTTGCTAGATAAGAGCCTTATTCATCGTCTGGTGTCATTTTAAGCCCTTTGAAGCTGCACTGAAACTCTCGTTTGGACCCCATTGAAGTCCATTATATGGAGAAAAATCCTGGAATGTTTTCATCAAAAACCTTAATTTCTTTTCGACTGAAGAAAGAAAGACATGGACATCCAGATTTCTTGTATTTGTACTTGGATTTCTTGCAGAATTAGATTTTGCCGGTGAATTCCCTCTTGAGTGGTTTGTGTTCAGCCGTAGCCAGATGTATATAAGATAATGGGCTCTTGGAATTTAGGAAGTGATGTCAGTGGCGCAGCAGGCCAAGCCTAAGCGACTTATTATTTTAAGTGTTCAGTTGGGTTTTGCAGAGGAAAAAGCAGCGGTGAAACTTTTACAGGTCGTTTGGGGTTAATGTGAGTCGAGGCTTTGATGAGGCGTGGATGTGGTCTCGGACACCTGTCCTGTGCACAGCGCTGCTGTTTCAGAGGCACGATGCCTGCGGAATAAATGTTTACTCGCAGCATTGTGGGAAATCAGCACACAAAACAAACCGGTGGCCTGTGGGCCGAGGCTTGAGTCATCCTGCGATCGGGAATCTTTCCTCACTGCGACATGTGGAAAACATGAGGTCATGCAGGATGAGATGAGACTCGAGTCACTGGACATGGACGGGACGGGACGAGCGATGGACACACCTTACATTTACACTGCAAAAATCAGTTTTGTCTTGTTTTCCAGTAAAAATATCAGAATGTCCATAAAACAATTTGAGAAGCAACATTGCTTTACCCCTACCCCTTTTTCTGGATGGGGAATGGGGGTTAAAATGCACTATTCAAACTTAAATGGTTGTTTTAAAGCAAACACTCAGCAGATTATTGCTGAAGTGAAAACACTTCAAAAAATGAAAGTATGAAAAAGTTTGTGTTTACAGTAAATCAAATATACTTTATATTTTTTTAATTTATATAAAATCTAAATTAAATAAACTCTAAAATTACTATAAAATCAAAGCTATAAATCTAAGCAAGTTATGTTCCACGTTTGAAGTTGATATCACAAAAATTGAAGTTCCCATGAGATTTTGTTTGGGCGTAGTACCAAAAATAGCCACCGGGTGCTATTGAATTCCATTTAATTTAGATTTATACATTCTGCTTTAACAAATTAATACATTTCTGTCCAAATATCACTTCTGTCACAAAATGTGGGACCTTGAGACACAGACCTTTCTGAAAATATGTGTTTTGTCAAGATTAGAAAAGATTAGAAAATATAATGAAGCCCAAAAGGGGAGGAGCCTGATAAAATAAGTACCGTTTCTATGGTAACGCAACATTGAATTATAAAACTGTTTTCACAGGATGAATTCTGAGTTTATAAGCTTTCAAATGATGCCTAATTTATGATAACTACTATAATATGAAAGGCAATAAAAATAATGTTATATTTTAGAGAATAATATATATCTATCTATATATAACCATTTTTAGACGATAATATTATACTATTTCTATTGAAAAATACTAGATTATATGTTTATTATGAACTTTTAGCATAAAAAAGAAGTTTCAATGATTAAAAGTGCGTGCATCGACTTTTTGTGACAAGGTCAGACCTCCTGTTACGATGCAGATTTTTTGAGGTGCACTCTTGTCATAAATTCATCAGTTACTCTTCCTACATAATTTGTAACACAAAACAGGGGTAGAATATCTATTTAGAAGTCTTAGACATTTCCAACGATATATAATTTGTCATAATTAGATTAAGATTTAATGGAAGTATAGTGAGGTAAAGTTAGGCATCCTGGTACTGAGACGGTGACAGTAAGATATTCTTGTTTAATTAAGTGTATTTTATTTAAACTTTGGCATGTTTTTTTTGTTTTTTTTACATTTTATATGTGGAGTGTATAATATTTTCTTTATGCATATTCTTTTATTTGCTTAAAACAAACAAATTATGCTTATTGGATTTACAACCATTTAAAAAAAACTTAAAAATATTGCTTAAAATAAGAATAAAAAATATATAATATAATATTAATCATATACATAATAAACAATATAATATATGCTTTATATATATATATATATATACAGTATATTTGTATAAAACAAGAAACAAAAAATTTGCTTATTAAATTTGTGACCATTTTTAAAGCATTAATTAAAAAAATATTGCTTAAAACAAGAATAAAAAAATATACATTCATACATATATATAATAATATATTATTTATATTATATTCATTCATATTTTCATATGTTGTAATCATATATTAAAGTATATTCATATTTTATTTTTAATAATTATAAGAATAACTTGTTTTACTTTTACTAAGAATTGTTGAGTGGATCCATTGACATCTGAGTTAAATGTATTTAATAATGAAAAACAAGACAAATAAAGATACTGATGAAGATGAATTTTTTTTTGCAGTATAATGTATTTGGAAACAAACACGTGCTCTCAGCGTTTATTTCTGATGGTGATGATAGGATAAGGTAACAGGCCGCCCTTTCCCAACATCGGCACAGATGTTTCCTGACTTTATTCACTTTGTGAAATTGTTCGAGCACTTTAAATGTGTCCTCGCCACCATCATCATCATCCCCGGTTGTGCTGACGCTGTCTTCTGGTTATATAAGACTGTTTGCAATAGCTTTCTGTATTGTAAACTGTGTCATTATATGTTCCCAGCAAACCTTTACAGCTCCAGTCAGTCGAGAGACTATCATTAGACATCGTTTGATTGGAAACTACCAATAGCATCACTCTTACTGTTGCACATGTGTTAGTGATAATAACTGTCTCATTCTTTTCAGTGTGCTCTTGTGGATCATTTCCCACATATTTAAACATGAGCTGCTCTTCCTCACTCGTAGTCATCAATGACATAATCACTGTGGGAATTTACTTTGTGGTCGTGTGATCTGAAATGACCTTGTTACTTGTTTTTCAGCCCTTTCATTCTGTAAGCGTCTATATAAACTCACAATGACGTCACGCAAACATCTCAGGCCGGCCAGCACAGAATGTTCAGATGGTTTAGCTCATCTATATTACCACTTTTTCCCATGAATAAGTGACATTTTCTTATTTTTTTTCCCCACACAGACTCAGATACTCAAAACCCAAACAAGAATGGATGCGGTGGACGGTCCAGCCTGTGAGCTTTTGGTTTCAAACGTCTCATCGGTGCAGAATGACCACAGTTTCACCCAACAAAACACGCTTTTTAACAAGGAGATCACTCAGGTATGATCGCTGGACTCTGACTATCATCTGCACGTATTTGAAAGTCAAGACTAGGAATAATTCTCATAAAAGTTGTGTTTTCTGTGTTATTCATTTGCATTTTATGTCCTTGGCAGATGATTTTTATTGCTTTAATTGCATTCAAGGTATGATTTTTTTAAAATGATTAATACATTTCATGCATTCCTGGGAATCAAACCCCTGTCTCAGAGCTGCTAACACAGTTTCAGCTGTAAGAATGCTGTTTACGGTCAAAAGGTCACATTTCACACCAAACGTCAAACATATTGGAAGAAAATTAAGTCTAATAAGTGGAACTATTTCTTTTAATAATAACAAAATATGGCAATAATTGTTTCATTCAAATCAGCCAATATTAATTTTTAACTAAGCAGTGCAAATTATGCAATCATAATATAGATATAAAATACAATTTAAATGATAATTCTACATATATATAAAGTATATTTTCATAAAAAATATAAATACAGACAGACAGACCAACATACAGATAGACAGACAAACAGATAGACAGACAGACAGACAAACAGACCGACAGACAGACAAACAGACAAACAGACCGACAGACAGATAGACAGACCGATAGATAGACAGACAGACAGACTGATAGACAGACAGACAGACAGATAGACAGACAGGTAGACAGACAGGTAGACAGACAGATAGATAGACAGATAGACAGACAGACAAACAAATAGACAGACAGACAGACAGATAAACAAATAGACAGACAGACAGACAGACAAACACATAGACAGACAGACAGACAGACAGACCGATAGACAGACAGACAAACAGACAGACAGACAGACAGACCGATAGACAGACAGACAGGCAGACAGATAGATAGACAGACAGGTAGACAAACAGGTAGACAGACAGGTAGACAGACAGATAGACAGACAGATAGATAGAAAGACAGACAGACAGACAAATAGACAGACAGACAGATAGACAGACAGGTAGACAAACAGGTAGACAGACAGGTAGACAGACAGATAGATAGACCGACAGACCGATAGACAGACAGACAGATAGATAGAAAGACAGACAGACAGACAAATAGACAGACAGACAGATAGACAGACAGACAGACAGGTAGACAGACAGATAGACAGACAGATAGATAGATAGACCGACAGACAGACAGACCAATAGACCGACAGACAGACAGATAGACAGACAGACAGACAAACAGATAGACAGACAGACCGATAGACAGACAGACAGACAAATAGACAGACAGACAAACAGACAGACAGACAGACCGATAGACAGACAGACAGACAGACAGATAGATAGACAGACAGGTAGACAAACAGGTAGACAGACAGATAGACAGATAGACAGACAGATAGATAGAATGACAGACAGACAGACAAATAGACAGACAGACAGACAGACAGATAGACAGACAGGTAGACAGACAGGTAGACAGATAGATAGACCGACAGACCGATAGACAGACAGACAGATAGATAGAAAGACAGACAGACAGACAGACAGACAAATAGACAGACAGACAGACAGATAGACAGATAGACAAACAGGTAGACAGACAGATAGATAGACCGACAGACCAATAGACCGACAGATAGACAGACAGACAGATAGATAGACAGACAGGTAGACAGATAGACAGACAGAAAAACAGATAGACAGACAGACAGACAGACACACAGACAGACAGACAGATAGATAGATAGATAGATAGATAGATAGATAGATAGATAGATAGATAGATAGATAGATAGATAGATAGATAGATAGATAGATAGATAGATAGATAGATAGATATACTGATGGATGAATGGATCTCTGTGAAGAGGTGGACCTGTTTTTGGTCATCTTTTAGTTTTTTCCCTGTAAACTGATGTCAGAAGTGGTGAATTGTTGGAGTGGTTGCATCACCAAAGTGTAAAATTACACTTGCAGTTTACAGACAAAAGAAGAGCTCGTGCAGATAAAGGTGTAAAGCGAGCGTTCTGGCCCTCTGACCCTGTCCCAGCCCTTCTGTTCCTCTTCTGTGCTTCTCTTTCTGTGGACTAGAGCGGCAGCACAGGCGAGTGGGAGGGAACAGCACAGCCACAAGAGGAGCAATTATTTTGGGATGAGATCATTGTTTGGCCCCGTCTGTTCACGCCTCTGGTCTTCTGAGGCCTGAGTGCTCTCGTTCTCCCTTCGCCACACACTCGCTCTGACATACAGGGCATTTGTGCTTCAGGACACAGCTGCTCAACAGCCCGTGTGACCCGTGAGACTCATGAGTTACAGCGCAGTGTTTCAGATGACAGACGAGCGTAACACGTCCGTAATGTTAACAGGCCAAAGATCCGCTGCCATTCGTTTAGGAAATGGCCTTTGGATGTATATTTATTCTTACGTCTGTGTTGGGCAAACCCTCCATCTCTTTATGGGACTCAGTTAACTGATTGACGGAGTGTAGCGTCGGGGATGTGGAAACGGGACTCTGTTTAAGAAATCCCAAATTAAGGTGAATTAAAGAGGGGAAAGTAAACACATCCTCCGGCACTCTAAATTTATATACCAATTAAATTAAATTTATACACTGCACTTACTTAGTTACAAATGACACTTACTTACAAATGCTTTTCTTACTTAGTATTTTTCTCTAGTTTCCAGTCCAAATATCAAAAAAATCTTAAATCAAGATCATTTACTATGAGTAAAATTACATAAGATATTATGTCTTGTTTTGTGGGGGAATTAATCGAATAAATTGAGTTGATGCTTAAAAAAAAGCTAAATTATCTGCCAATGGGGTGAGAAAAATAATCTTAATTCAAACAGAAACAAGATTATTTTTCTTGCCACATTGGTTGATAATTTTTCTTGTTTTAAGCATCAACTCGTTTTATTTTGATTAATTTCCCCAGAAAACATGATATCTTACGGCATTTTACAATTTTAGGAAATTTGATATTTGGACTGGAAACGAGAGAAAAATACTAAGTAAGAAGAGCATTTTTTTTGCAATGTTCAAGTATCTAATCTGAAAGAAAGATATTAATTCTTTTATTCAGCAAGGAAGGATGCATTAAGTTAATCAAAAACGACAATAAATACTGTTAAAAATGGTTAATGTTACAAATAAATGCTGTTTCTATACCTGAAAAAAATTCCCAGCTGTTTATGACATTGATAATTATCAGAAATTAATTTTGATAATTAATTTTCATTATCAAATCTAATTTTGATAATTATCAAAAAAGATTTGCTTCTCTTTTTGAGCAGCAAATTATCTTATTGTAAGGATCATGTGACACTGAAGACTGGAGTAATGATGCTGAAATTTCAGCGTTGATCACAGGAATAAATTACATTTTAAAATATATTAAAATAGAAAACAGTTATTTTAAAAGAAAATAATATTTCACATTATTGCTGATTTTACTGATTTTTTATTTTTTTTATTTTTTTATTTACTGAATTTTTTAACAAATAAATGCAGCCTTGGTGAGCAGAAGACTCTTTTTTTTTTTTCAAAAAACATTTAAAAATCATAAATCTGTGGGATTATTTTGACCCGTTTCATCGTCCAGGATGAAAGATGTAGTATGAGGATGAGGAAGCATGTCCTAACTCAATAACCACTTGATATCAATTTGCTAATTCACTCAGAGAAGGACTTTGAAATGGCGTCATGCCATTATGCGATATATAATTTCCCCAAAACATGCGGTATGATTTACAGAATGTTATTTTTTGAAAAACAGACTATTGTTCTAACGGGAAGCGGAAGAAACAAAGGCTTCGGCCTCCTGTATGACTATGAAGTCATCGAAACGAGGCGATAGAGCTGTTTACACAGGCCTCCAATACAGAAATACCTTTGAGCCTGTGGGAAGCCATTAAAAATAATGGCTGATCTTTTATTAGAAGTGACATCATATTATTTTTTATCTGCACTGTGAGATCTTGCCAAGCATTGTGGTGTATTTTTCCCCCTTTTGTCCACATGCGATGTGAATCTTCGTGCTTTTGATGTGAGAAAGATTTCGCTTTATACTCTTAAGACCACACATTTCTGAAAAATGTGAAAAACAAAATTGACGATGATTACTATTTAATATGTGGACTAGTAATAGTGATGGTGTCTTTAGATATTATCCCCAAGCTGTCTCCTTATATTTAGCCTGATTTATTGGTTTTATTGGCTTTGGAAATCTCAACGCTGCATTTAGTCTTGTCGAAATGACAAGTTCATTTAACAATCCTTTCGTTGGTGGTGATGTGGGTGGGCTTTTTGAGGACCGCCAGTGGTCATACATTGTGTTCATACCAAATAAACATGTCCAAGGCTCGACCACCTGTTTTCTATTCGCGCGGTGCAAACATGGCCAGAAATGGTGCTTTCAAAAGCCTTATGCAACAATCCGTGCGCTCCAGCCAAAAGAAACGGGACATCTGAGAAACAGCGAGCGATCTCCCGATGATGTTTCTGAAGTGTTTCTGTAAGCCGAGACACAAGTAATCGCTGTTTTCTTCAGAAACAAGAACTTGTCTTCCCTCGGCGTGAAATAATAGCGAGCGACTGTGACTTCACACATGTGCTTTAAAGAACCCTTTAAAATCTATTTGCTTAATATTGTGTTTCCACAGTGCTCTCAGGAAGCTAAGCGAGCGTAAAATGGGCCTTAAGTGTCTCAACATGTGTTCATGTTTCAAGCATTAACAATAAAGTACAAAGAAAAAACAGGAACTAACATGTGATCCAGGCTTAATAGTTCAGAAATTAGTCATTTTGCGTGGAATTGGCATTTGTTTCGGCCGGATTTCTCCAATAATAGAAGCATTTAAAGGGATAGTTCACTTTGAAATTAATTTTTGGTGTGTTTTAGCTGACCTCAAGGGCATCCGAGATGTAGGTGTCTTTGTTTCCACAGTATTTTCAATTTTTGATATTTTTAGGTCAAATCGTTCTTGTCTGTCAGTCATATAATGGAGGTCTATGGTCACCACCTCAAAGAGCATGCACAGAGAAGTCCAAATTAAACATGATTTAATGACTCGTAAATGGCCTAAGACACGAAACGAGCGGTTTGTATAAGAAAACGAACAGTATTTAAATCGTTTTTACCTCTTGTTACCACAGCCACGTCCAAGTGATCTGATGGCGAGGGCGCTTCTGTCTGCACAAGTGCCGAAAATTATTAATAATAATCGTAATAAATATAATCTTTGACACTCTGTTATTATTGCATACTGTTTAACGCACAACAACACTGAGGTGCAAATAGTATCTGCCACTATTTATTAAGTATAAATTGCATCTACACTCTTAGAAGAAAAGGTTCTATATAGAACCTTAAAAGGTTCTATCAGCGCTACGTATTTGGAACCCCTAAAAGGTTCTATACACTCTTAAAAAAAGGGTTCCTCTGGGTTCTATATAGAACCCTGGGGTTCCATACTTGGCCAATAGAAGCTTTTACCAAAAAAGAAAAGTTCTATATAGAACCATTTTGGAGTTCCATACAGTATATGAAGCGGGGGATGGAACCATTTCTGGTTCTAAATAGAACCATTTCTTCTAAGAGTGTATAGCTACTATTCACACTTATTGCAAAGTAAATACTGCTATTTTTAATTAGCGTAAACAGAATCTATCGCTAAGAAAATGTGCTATTTTTTCTTGGTGTAAATGGAATCTAGTTGTTATTTGAAATAGAACATTTTTTGTAACATTCTAAACTGTCACGTTTGTGTTCCAAATCAGTCACTCGTGAGGTTCCATTTCAATTAGTTGGAAGTGTTTAAACTTGTGTGTGTTTGTGTCCCGCAGGCTGAGGCGTGGATCAGAGCGAAGCTACGAGACCTGCGGGACGGCGGTAACGGACAAAAATGTCCTCTGACCGACTGGGAGGAGGTTTGCCAAACACTCCAGAGAGATTTGAAGGACTTTGAGAACACAGTCATACAACTCAACCAGGTGAGGACAAACCGTCTTCATTAGGACAGAAAGATTGATGAATCATCGTTCTAAACAGGTTCCTCAGCCAAAATCAACAAAAAGAAGTTCTCCCTTTTGCAAATAAACGGCAAAACATTTACAAATTGTTATGGAAACAATATTTTAATGCTGACCCGTCAAAGCAATTTTTAACGGCTCAATTGTTACGAGACCTGTAGAACCTCAAAAAGCTCTTTGTGAGACATCCCAAGTGGCAAAATTTCCCATGAGAACAGCTAAATTTGTCCTCTTTTGAAACTGCACATTGCAAAGAATTAACCTCTCCTGACACACATCCCTGGAGGGGTTGAAAACTGGAACTCCTGTTAGTCTAAGAGAACTTGGGTGGATTTCAAGTCCTCTGATATGATTAAGCTGTTGTTTTAGCGGACCGTAAATCACCAGAATGTTCTTTTGTGTAATGCTGCTCAATGTTTGTGCAGATGGGTGAGCAATTAATGTGCAAGCTTAACCCGACGTCTGACCTGGTGAAGAAACAGCTGGGTCAGATCCGCGACCAATGGAACGCGCTCAAACAGACGGCAGCCAATCAAATCAAGGCGATGGGCGGAGCTAAGACTCTCCAGGAGTTTAACAAGAAGGTGGACCGTCTGGAGGCATGGATCAAAGAGAAGGTTGAATACACTACGAAACCTGATTATACTAATTCACAAAGCCTTTGAATGGGATTGGTTTTGGATTTTGTCCTGAATCAGTAATATTAGTGGTTTATATAGAGAACATGGCGGTGATTCTGCATTAGGATAAACATATCACAGTCACGTTTCAATTCACCAACCAAAAGAGACAAATATTAAAAAAAAAATCCAATTTCGACTTTTAATTTTGCTTTGTGATATTATTTTAATGCACATTTTCTACAAAATTCTTATTTATTGCACATACTTTAATGCATATGGATTCTTTACATTTGAGCTTTTTTAATTTCTTGTATTTTATTAAAATGATGCTCATTAATATAGTACAGTAAAAGCGTCCTACAATAAAATTAGCCTTATTTTAAGGCAGTTCAAGAAATACTAACATGATGTACAAATATTTAAAAAAATACATACATATTTTATTTTAAAAGTTTGTTTGTAATGAGAATTTTCTTTTGGTAAAATATAATTTTTGAAACATGTTTAGACAGGTTTTGTGAGATTTACCTGCTAACCTTTAATGAGTAAATGTGTAAAATGAATAAGATTTGGATTTATTTATCATTTATTTTAATACTATTCTAAGTTTCAGTGCTGATCTTGTAAAGTAATGATGAAAATAATCTTAAAAAACAAAGTACTTACGTTATAGTAACCTTACAGAGAGATGAAAAAACATCACTGTGAAATTTACTTTAGTGAGCTGGAATTTTTACAATGAATTTTAGCATTTACCATGCTATATATTTATTTATAAAATGTATGTTTGCAACACCCCATAGAGCCATGTACATTTTAAAATATGCTGAAATATGTCTGATTTTGCTCACATTTTTCTTCACTCATTAATCGTCTGCCTGCTTTGCATCTGCGTTCAAGAAGCCGAGGTGTTACTTAACAAGTCTGTTTTACGTCTCACCATGGTAGCCAGGCTCATTTAGACCAACAGTAGCCCTATTCAAAGCAAACAATCACTGGGCTACAACAATTCAGGGCTGTAAAGCTTTTATATGTGTCACCAGGAACGGGAACAATCGCTGGCCAACATCCTTGGGGAAAACACTGACAAGATGCAGCTTACCAGGAAGATACTGGATTTGAAACAGGTGGGTGAATCCAGACAACAACCGCAGAAATTGCTGCTAAACTCTCAGCAGGCATCAATTATCGCTACTGGAAAACAATTGGCTTTTTTGAGATAACATGTATATTAGTAAGTGCTTCCGTTCATGCACAGATTCCCTAGCATCCTTCAAGCCAAATGAATCAGCCATTTGTGCTTCTAGGGTTGGGAATATTAGTGCACCTGGTTTTACATGTGGCTGGGTTAAATCTAAGATTATTGGAGCTCAGGAAATCTTATGTGCTTGACTTTCTTTCAGGATGAGCAGCTCTATCATAATCTTCATGAGGAGATCAATCTTATGGCCATCAGACTGGAAAAACAGGGAAAGGCAGAAGGGAAGACCATCTCAACCCGCAGGAAACACATCAACAAAATGTTAGTGCACATAATAATTATGATTACAGACAGAGTCATTTTTTGTACAAACTTCAAATTAATTATTGAAATATATGGTTATTATATAAAAATATATGGTTATTATATACACATATTTGGTTATCCGATTTGTCTGCTTACATGGCACACACAAATGCACATATCCGATTCATATCCGATTTATGAGTGAGGCCTGAATCCGATCCGAGAAAATCGGAAACCATGCGTTTTTTTCCTGCTTACATATCTGGTCATAATCGATCTGTGCCACATGAGAGGAAAAATCGGATTTGGGTCACTTGAACCATGCAGTGTAAATGGGGCCTATGTTTTGTATATATATATATATATATTAGTGCTGTACAAAAGTTAATTGTGATTAATCGCATCCAAAATAAAAGTCTGTGTTTACATAATATATTTGTGTGTGCTGTATATAATTATTTTGTATATATAAATACACACAAATGCATGTATATATTTAAGAAAATGTGTTATTCATATATAAAATAGTTATATTTATATAATATAGATTATGTATTTATAAATATATACAGAATTTAAGCGCAAATAATTCTTAAATATATACATGCATGCATAGGTATTTATATAAACAAAATAATTATATACAGCACACACAAATATATCATGTAAACACAGACTTTTATTTTGGATGCGATTAATCACAATTGACCCTTCGCTAAGCCCCGCCCTCCCTAGTTACTGTCGCTACGCCTGTCAAGCTTTCGCGGCTGGCCCATCTATTATAGTGTGGATGCACCAGTTATCAGACATTTCAATGAGATAATTAGTAATTTTCGGCGAACAAGTGAAATATCTGAGAGAGCAAGACAAAAGGGACTACAGTATGCATTCGAGGGATATATTCACGACATTATATGCAACCGATTAAAGAATAATTTCTTAAAAATTGAAGTTAAAGCCTAACGTTATAGTCCCAGTGCAAGCAGCAGCGACTCATACGCTGACCGTTCAGCTATGTTCATACACAGCAGGGTATGTGAAAATAATCGTAATAATTATAAATCAAACAGCTTATCAATAAATCTTGTGGAATAACACTAATACCGGGAGAGCCGCGATCGGATTGGGTTAAGTTAAGGGTTAACGTAAGTAGGACGTCGATTAACAAAATGCTGAAATATATTTTAAAGTATGTCAGTGAGCCTTTATCTTGTCTCTTTAATCGTCTTATTTTACGTTATATCATTATGACTAAAGAACCGTCGATATTTCCAAGCAATAGGTGTTTTTGTTAAGCATGTCCACATTTACCAGTAGTTGTGAATGGGTCTCGCACATAGATGCTAGATCACGCCAATCATTTCTCCCCTTGGCTTTTAGATTTTCTGGAAGGAAAACAATTCCTCTCCCCCGTCCAAACTTTTAGTATACCGGTATCAGATTTGCACAATCTATACGCACAATAGACCAACGCCACTTTTGCGTCATCGAAGGGTAACGCCCCCTTTTGGGGGAAAACACCTCTATACTGTCTATGGGAAAACAAACGGATTCCCATGAGAACAGAACTCGCACTAGATCTGCAAAGTTTCTTGATAGCAAAAATGGCACAAACTTAAAGAAGCTAACGTTACTGAATACGGGGTTACAGAGGTTTCCCTTTGAAATGGTCGAAAACTGGATTAATGACCCCACACAGCGGCCAAATATGGACTATTCAGACATCTAACGTTACCACTATCTCGTGGAATCACCAAGTAAGTAGCCTTTTTTATTTATTTATCATTTACACACTCACAGTAGCCTATTACAAACTACTAGACGATGAGGCCATTAACTTGATTTAAGCTATTGACAGTTTTGTTGTCGACTAGCTATTAGAAAGACTAGCTGTTAGCAGCTAACGTTACCTTATTAGACTATGTCAATAGCTTAAATCAAGTTAAATTTGATCCATTCATCGTCTAGTTTGTCATACTGTGAGTGTTAATGAAAAAAAAGGCTAGCTACGTGCTTACTTGGTGATTCCACGAGATAGTTGTAACGTTAGATGTCTGAATAGTCCATATTTGGCCGCTGTGTGGGGTCATTAATCCAGTTTTCGACCATTTCAAAGGGACACCTCTGTAACCCCGTATTCAGTAACGTTAGCTTCTATAAGTTTGTGCCATTTTTGCTATCAAGAAACGTTGCAGATCTAGTGCGAGTTCTGTTCTCATGGGAATCCGTTTGTTTTCCCATAGACAGTATAGAGGTGTTTTCCCCCAAAAGGGGGCGTTACCCTTCGATGACGCAAAAGTGGCGTTGGTCTATACTTCAGCACGTTTCCCTCGTTCGAAAGCTTGCCAGACCTCCCTCGCATAGTTACGGTTGCTATGACATGATTGGCCAGTGGCGGTTTTCGGGCGTGGCTTAGCGAAGGGTCAATTAACTTTTGCACAGCCCTAATATATATATATATAATTTTTATTTGTGGACTATCTAGGTGGCTAAAGGCTCAGTCGCACTTGAAAGAATACCATGAGAATCTCCAGCTTGCCCTCGAAGTCTCATCCTTCTACCAGCAGGCAGATAATGTTGTCTCTTCCATCAATAACATGGTAATCATTTTCCTTCATATTTCCATCTGTTTCAGTCCCACAGGAAGGCCATTATTCTGACGTGTCCTTTGATATGAACACACACCCCACTGCTGCACTGAATGTTGAGGTGCTGATGTAACCCACTAATGTTATTTATGGTTTTGCTCCTTTTTTATCTTTTCATCCAGAGAAAAAGCCTCTCTCCGAGCAATGGAGCGGAAAACGGCCGAGACGGGGAAATTCGGGACGTTGCCAGTCAAATCATGGTGTGCGATCCAAAATAGCTACAGGATAGCCATGTGCCGTTAGTTCTCTGACAGCATCTTGACGCCCGTGTTTGTTTTGCTGTGTGGTTCCAGATGCTGGATGTGACTGTTTCCCAGTTATCCAAGCTTCACCCGGCGCTGGCGGCCCGGGTCACACAGAAGCAGAGCGAGTTAAAAGACTCCTGGGCCGTCCTCCAGAAGACTCTCAGGTAACTCAAACCACCAAACCCTACGGTGTCCTCTCGGGGACACAAGCCGTTTCCCTCCTTAATGGGCAAACCGTGGGCTTTCCACAGAGCTGAAGGCACTTTCCACAATCCTGTTTTTGGAGCATTTGTATTCCCCTCCACCAACCGTGCGGTGCGCAGCCAGGGAAAACGTTTCCAAATGATAATTAGATGCATATAAAAATGCGTGCTTATTTTCATAATGTCAGCTATTACCAATCGGAGTCCCGGCTTTACACCAAAACACGTCGTTTAATATACAATTTTGTTTGTTTGTTTGTCTGTTTGATGCAGTTTTCCAAGTTTGAGCTTTTATTGCTCCATCATCTAAGGCGTCCATATTGATTTCATTGTCGTTTGAGGTCTAAAAGTCTCCCGAGCCCAGTCAGCCATAATAAATAACGTGCTTACTGCGGAACGATTGCCATCTCCTGCTCATGCCTTCGGTTGAGGATGAAGTATGTTTACCCCTGTAATTAGAGGAATTTATTCCTTATATTAAATTCATAAGAGTTTATTTGGGCACTGCAGATGTTTAATCAAGATGAATTCATGGCAAAAGTTACTAAAGGTAAAATAACACACAAACAGCTCGTTCTGTTCGGTGAATGTAGTAAAAGTTGGGAACATTTCTGAGGGAGACTGTATATAATAAAGAATTATTTTATATTATATTATACACTCTTAGAAGAAAAGGTTCTATATAGAACCTTGAAAGGTTCTATCAGTGCTACGTATTTGGAACCCCTAAAAGGTTCTATACAGAATCCTTTTTAAGGGTTCAATAATAAGAACACTTTAGGGTTCTTTGTAATCAGGAAAAGGTTCTATATGGAAGCTTTTGGGTTCATTGATTATTATTTGTTTTGTCCTTTCCGGATTAAATATTTCATATTATTGACAAACATCAAGACCCTAAAATGTATTTATGAATGCATGTGAATGATCAAAAAATTCAAGATATGGGGGCTAGAATGTAAATATTTATATAATTTTATGTAGTTAATCAATATCACACAAAGAGTGCCATTTCAGTTTTTCTCCTCCTAAAATCAGCATGATTAAAATGTGATATGAACAGTTTAATAAACAATAATTTAATTACAACTACAAAATGTTAAGAACCTTTGTGCCAAAAGGGTTCTTTCTTGCCATTATAGAACCTTTTTTAGCATTAAAGGTTCTTTGGAGTTGAGTAAAGAACCATATTCTTCATATATAGAACCCCAATGAACAATTTTTTCAAAGAGTGTACATTAATTAACCCTTAAATGCATGAATGTTTCACAGATCATTATTACATAATTGTATTTTAGATATTAAATAGGGCTGGGCAATGATTAATCGCGATTAATCGTATCCAAAATAAATGTTTGCGTTTACTTAATATATGTGTGTGTACTGTGTATAATTATTTTGTATATAAAAATTCACACTCATGCATTTATATATTTAAGAATTTTTTTTATTAATTTATAAAATATTAATATTTATATTTAATATAAATTATGTATAAATATATATACAGTATATGGATACAAATATTTCTTAAATACAGTATATATACATGCATGTGTGTGTATTTTTATATATATACAAAATACTACACACACAATATTATGTAAACTCAAACTTTTATTTTGGATGCGGTTAATCGTTGCCCAGCCCTAATATTAAACAAAACGATTATATATGAAGTGCTAAAATGGTTTCTATTATATATTTTTAGTACATAATGATGCTGTTCCATACTATTCATTCCTTCTGCAAAGCCAAAAACCATTCGCAAAGAAGATCTAGTGTGTATAATATAATATAATATAATATAATTTGTGTATGTATGTATACATGTGTGTTATCCTCCAAAAGTTTAGCATTTCATACTTTAAATCCCTTGAATCTGGTTATTCCCATGTGTGTATTTATTTTAAGACATGATGTAGAGTGTTTAGTCATCCGTCTTAGTGGCTTCGTTCTGAAAAACATTTTGGAAGTTACAAATAAGTTACACCAGTTACTCACAGTCACTGTATTAAAACTGCATAGAGTGACAGTAAACGAGACATAATTAGAGTCAGGGATCCGATGAAACTTGTGTTTTCTTGGCTCGGGTGTCCAGTGCTGTTGGCAGGTCGGTTTGATGGCTGGGTGTTTGTGTTTGTAGGAACGAGAAGGCAGCTCAACTACCCTCGTTAAACAGGGACAGCAGTGACCCTGAAACCTCCAGCCCAGAGACGCCCGGCAGCGTGGGAACAGACACACACAGGATTATGGGAAAGGAGGTTAAAGAGGAACAAAATCGTCTGAAGGGGTTTACGGTATGCAGTTATAATTGTACAATTATATTCACTTACTTTCTTATGTTGCTTGTTTTTCTTTGCTTCCTTTTTTTTTTTTTTACGAGCGTAAATACATAATGACAAAGGAATTTTCACAAGCGTTTTGTCTCCCAAAACATGAAGCATCAAGCTATAGACGTTACACGAGAGCGCTGCAGATTCATTGATTTCATTTGAACATTTGTGGAAGTGACTATATCACATTAACAATGTTGTTTATATGTATTTGTGCAGTCCACAGCTAATTAAAATGATTTCTAAATAGTTTCTGTTTAGAGTCGTCATTTTACGTGGCTGACTGTAGCGAAACAAACAAAACTGCGGGATGAGTAAAAAACTTCTTAAAGCCCCTTTATAATACTTATTAATATTTAATATTATTTATATACTATTATAGTATTTATTCATATTTGGAATTGCTGTTTTTTATATATTTCAGTTTAAGTTTTAGTCATTTTGTTATGTGCTTTAATCATTTTTTTTTGTTTTAGATTTAAATATATATTTAGATTGTTTTAGATTTGTTTGTTGTTTTAAATTATTGTTTTTAGATTTAATTTATTTTTATTTCTATTTCTAATTTATTATTATTTCTATTTCTATTTTTATTTATTTTTTTAAATTATTTAATTTATTTTTATTTATTTTTAAACTTGCACTTATTTTAGTTAAAGCTGCAGCAGTCTGTAACTATTTTGGTTTAAAAATTATCCTAAATAAAATTTAGCAAGTACATAACCAGCCAGTGTTCAAAACTCTCTGCTTGCCGTATGTAAAGTTGATAATTCCGTGAATGACTGCAATTACTGATTTCGAACAGAGATGGCGACAAAGAAGGAAAAACTACGGACTGCAGCTTTAAGTGTATCATATAATATTTATATTTTATATTACTTCAGCTTTATTTCAATGAAAACTTTTTTTAAGTCCTGACGTGAGTCGTGTGGAAGAGCCTCGAGTGTTTTTACTGCTTTTACTGCACTTTTCCATAATTACATAACAACCGCTAAACATTGAGTATTGAGTATTAATTCCTCTATAGCATAGAGCGGATTCTGTGCTCCAGCCGCTTGAGTTTCGATTGTAAATGACCTCTGACACGTCGAGTCTGGCTCCTCTTTCAGACACACAAACACACTGTCGTTTAAGTAGCTAAATGTGAGGCTCCTCTTTTCCTGCTTGTCGGTTTGGATGGTATGCAAATGAGTCAGTTTCTGTAATTTGCAGTATTTTAAGACATCCTCTCTATCTAACAAAGCCCCGTTGTCTGTGAGACACCACATTCAGGAAAAGCTGTTCAAGGTGTTATTGACACTGGCACGACGCATCTAGACGTTTCCATGAAGCCGAGAGGGCAAAAACAGGCCACATTCTCTCGCAAAACTCACAAATCTACAAGTTTTCATATCCGCTGACATTATGGCTGAAATGGACGCAAATAGAAGAAAACACTCATTAATAAAACCATTTGTTATATCACAGGCCATCTTGGATGCTTTTCCTTCCTTTCTTATTTTTCAGCTCAGAAAGATTTGTTTTCTTTAAAGAAATTAATACTTTTATTCAGTAAGGATGCATTAAATTGATGAAAAGTGACAGTAAAGACATTTATAATGTTACAAAAGATAAAATAAACACTGTTCTTTACTTTTTATTCACAGAATCCTGAAAAAATAGATTATAAAAATATAATGTGCAGTAAATCAGCATATTACAATAATATGATGTGAAGAAATACAAATACATTATATGTGAACTCTTTTGATGAATACCATATTACTACCATGGTAAATCTCCAAAGAACTGTGCTATTTTATATGCATTTAAAACTAGTCAAAAATTAAGCTTGGGTGAAAGATATAAAAACGTACTGTGGTTGTATCATAATATGATAATACTGTAGTACTTTAAATTTTACCGTGGTACTGAAAACACCCGTATTTGACGTGCAGATCTTCCTTTTCCCACTATTTCATGTATGTACTTTAACTGATAGTATCAAAAATGAAGAGTAATTTCCAGTAAAACATGACCTGTTTGGTCCAGTTGCACCATATTGTCTTTAGCTTTGACTAGTTTAAATTGTTAGATCCCAACATCAGGTGGTTGTCTGGCTTTGGTTTCATTGCTGAAACAATGGCCACTTGTGTCAGTGCTGGTAGCAGAGGTTACCTGGGTGTATCGTGTACGGGATCCGCCCTCATTACTCTTTATGGAGGCTTTTAGTGGAAGACACAAATCCCCAAAACTAGCGAGATGCCAGATGGCACCACCGGTCCGAATGCTTCTAACCGAAGCGCTCTCAAAAAACACACAAATGCTTGAGTAATACACTGCAAGTGTCCCGCTGTGCTTGCTTAAATTTCTCTGTAAGATTCTCTTCAAACTGTTGAATTGTCAGGACTGCAGTTTACTTGAAAATATCTGTAGAAAGAGACAGGTTGAGCTTTAGAAAACTGCCGAAACCAGCCTGAAACGTGTTGCTGCTTTAACCCTGTAAAGCTGACTGGATCATATTTGATATGTGAATTTCTAAAGCCTCTGAATGATCAACATGATCAAATCATTTACTTTTTTTATGATTATTATTATTATTTTAATTTTCATTTTTTTAAATTATCATTATTATTATTATTTATTTATTTATTTATACTTATATATATATATATATATATATATTAGGGCTGTGCAAAAATTAATCGCGATTAATCGCATCCAAAATAAAAGTCTGTGTTTACATAATATATTTGTGTGTGCTGTATATAATTATTTTGTATATATAAATACACACACATTCATGTATATATTTAAGAAAATGTGTTATACATAATCTATATTTTATATATGAATAACACATTTTCTTAAATATAAACATGAATGTGTGTGTATTTATATATACAAAATAATTATATACAGCACACACAAATATATTATGTAAACACAGACTTTTATTTTGGATGCGATTAATCGCAATTAATTTTTGCTCAGCCCAAATATATATATATATATATATATATATATATATATTTTTTTTTTTTTTTTTTTAATTCTCACCTTGTTGGGTTGTACTTAATTAATTAGTTGTAATTAGTAGTGGTAATGATGACATCTGCTGTCCCATTTGTGTACTGTTACCTGAGCACCTCTGTTGACAGATGGAGATTTCTGATTGGTGGACTGTTGGTTTATAAAAAAAACTCTGTTGGTTTGAGATCTGTTTAACTCCCAGAAGAAGGCATGTGGCCGAAACACGTTGTAGTTTTTTTAGATGGTTGATTTGACCAAGCCATAGTAATAAAGGCTTTTTAACTTTTCTAATTGAGAGTGCCTTGGAGTCCTCTTGCTTTTTCGTCATATTCAGTTTCCCATCCAAAGAGCACCTCTATTTTAACCAAACTTTGAAATCCAGGAAGCGCTCCTTTACCCCTACTTTTTGCTTTTTATGATCAAATCTTTGCTGAAAAAAACCTGTCGCACACAATCTACTAATGCTGTCGCCTGATTGATTAGTTTAGACTCTTTTAGCAAGGATAATGGTACAAACGTTCACCTTCAGCTCGTTTTTGCTGTGAAATCTTGATTTTTATCAAGTAAATGTAAGAATAACGTGGTCATATTTCAAAATGAACACTTACTGGACTAAAGCAACTTGATTAAAATCATGTTTAAATGTGAGTATCAAATGACTTTTTGACTTTTGAGGAAGGTTTATTAGTCCATCGCTCAATTGCATTGCACTACATGTTTATAATTTATCATCTTACTAAGACGTATTATTGTTAGATATAGAGTGATGACTGATGTTTTATATAAGTATCTGCTATCTAAATCTTACTGATTTACATTACAAGCATCAGAATTTCATCTTATTTTTTGTCCATATAAATATCAACATTTGCACCGACCAAATTGCATAATTTTGCTTAGTTTGAATAAAACTGAGGTGTTTTCCCCCGACATATATTTACTATATCACACTGTATGAACCATAAAAGCCTGATGCATCAGATGTGATTCTCAACAAGAAACACATATGCAAACTTTTCTAAGCATTATTACATTGTTGTTTTTTTCTCAGTTCTAGCATTTCTAAATGAATACATGAGGCAAAGCATCTATCCGCTGGTGAGCAAGCATAACCAAGCTTGTTGTTTAGTGACGTGAGGTAAATACGCCTGTATTTCTGTCTAATGTCTCCCAGATGCTATACGAGAGCAATTGGCTGACATCACTCCTCAACGTTACACTGAAACGGAGGTCTTGAAAGATAGAGAGAGAGAGAGCTGATGAAATGCGAGCAAAAACACTAGCTCTAATTGGGATCAGCGCTGGGAACGGGCCATTCAAGAGCGGTCTGTGACGTAATGCACAATTCCTTACGTTTGGTCATGGAGGAAAGGTGCTGGAGTTTA